TGTACTACTGTAAAGAACAAATTACAGCAACATGTATTACAGTATTGTGACATAGGTCAACGTTTTGCCCTATTAGTCCATTAACTGATTCCATATAAAAGCAATAAAATGCATCAAAGTTCAGGAAAATAATTGAAGGGGAAAAATAATATATCAAGAAAGTAGTTTTCAATATCAGAACGAGCTTATATCAATGTGCTGAAAGTTAAGCATTGAGATCCTGATATAGGTACAGTATTATAGCTGCACTGGTATCTGCATTCCAATATGAAAATAACAACAGAAATTAGAATGCTATTATATACATATATATGTTGAAGTATAGAAGAGAATCCAAGTCAGGCTTGCTGTTTCCTAGCAAAACATGCCAAACCTAACACAACTAATTCATGTTAAGGTGATGTTTCTTTTTGCCTTAGTACAAATGCACAATTGCAAGACAGAAAACAGCACTCCATGAACGCCAAACAAACTTGAATATTATGAATATATTATTGCTATCATGGAGAAATAGGAAGGCTGATTTCAAGATTAATTTGTTTATAATCACAGTATGTTCTAAAACAAAGAACTGCAAGCATGACTAGATCACTAGATGCTTAGGCATTTTGATTTTATAGATCAAATATAATGCTTCCTTTAAACTATCAAGAAAAACATATGAGCGATGCTTCTAATTAATCTGAAGTAATTAAGTAGATCATGAGAATTATTTGGAAAAAGCCTATAGCACAATAAGACAATCACAACTTTATTTTCTGCAATGTTCAGTTGAAAGGGCTGACTGATAACTGTGCTTGAGCCCTAAAGTTTCATATGGGTATTTAAACTTTAGACACTCCCCCACTTTCTTTTGAACAGCAATATATATACTTAAAAAAAAAAAAAGCAATGACAGAAAAATCTATTAATGTTTAATGCTGTAATAACATTTTTGCAGCAGTACAACTGATCAAATCCAGCAGAATTTCCCTTTTTAGAGAATTATTCACTTAAATTTAGAAACAACATGAATGTAAGTTCAAATAAGTATTAGAAGTTTCAGAAATCATATTTTAGTTCACTATAATTTTTGAAGCTTACAAAATTAAACTCAATTTTAAAATTTATACTAAAACTATAATACTCATAATAAAAGTATAATGCAAAGTCTGTACATATGGATGTTTTGAACATAGATTACTCATAAAAAATGAGAAAATGGTACAATTCTAGTCTAACCAGATGCTAAATAAGTAGGTTTCAGATTATCAAAGATATTTGCACAACATTTTGCACACTTCCCCATAATGGATTTAAAGTAACAGAATTATTAAACTCTGTTGGATTGAAAGGTTCTATATAGTAATGCTTACTTGCTTACCTACAGAATTACCAAATGTACTTATATTCTGTACATTTTTAGAATCTACATTATTTTTCAAAGTATTGAAACCAAATCCTGGGAAAGTAGAAAAGTGTTATTTCCAATTTCTAATATTATCCTTTAACTACATGGCAAACACCACAAAGCCAATTTCAACAAGAACAGAACAGAAATAAAACATTATCTCTGAGTAATCTATACTATATACAATTCCAGGCACATTACACAGTGAAAATACTGTGTGTGGTACTATTCTTTTGAGCCATTTAAATTCTCACTACTAACTTTATTACAGTTTTTATATGTGAACAAAAGAATTTTCTAGACCACTATTTTCAAGAAAACCCACATGGCTGCTTTACTACACACTATTAAAAGTAGAAGCAGAATAAGCAAATATAAGCAGAAACAAAAAAAGATTTGTTCATGGCAAGGAAGAGAAAAAGTTCCAGTCAATGAACACAATCCAATAAATGCATGTTAAGAATGGGCAAGGGAAAGCAAGGGAACACTTTTAATGTCATTTGCAAAGGAAAACATATGTCTATCCCTTTTATTGAATCAAAATACTACTACATACAATACACAGACTTCTTGATATCACTAATGAAAAGTATTCTGACCACCAGGAGGCAGCATGTGTCTGGTTTCATCCTGTTTGGGACTCATCAGGTATAGGTCATCACAGATCTTTCCATTGGGTCCAAACCCTCTACCAGGAATTGAATTCACAGGCCACTGCACTTTAGAAGACTATATACCAGGCCTCCAAAAAATGCATTCTGCAAAGCAACCTTGGGCAGCTCAGCAGCGTTTTTTAAAAACCTAAATAAATGCCACACCACTAAACACTATTGCCCAAAAACATATTGTCGAATGCCTCCAACATCTCTAGGCCTCACCTAAGCTTCCAACTCCAGTTCTGTTGCCACTCTGCTAGCCACCAAACAGCTGATCAGCATGTGAGGTATTCCTTTGTGGCCAGCAATTATTTTTAATTTATTAATGTGACCCTTTCTCTTCTAGAAGTTGTGCAGACCTGCTATATACAGTGCATTAGGAGTAGCTAATCTGGTCATAGTGCTCAGCAATGTTGCAGGAAAGGATATATAGTCTATTAGACATGACATAATATAACATCTGTACATCTCTCTAGTCTGAGAACTTAAGCAAAAGTGGACTGTATGTACCATTTAAAGATAGATGGAAAATAATAACTAGACAGTATGTTCTAGAGCAGAAACAGGCAACCAGATATACTGTTAGCTTTGGATGACAACTTCCAAAATCCTTACCAGTGATCTGCCCACAGTGCTAGTGAGAATTTACATGTACTCAAATAATACTGTGTTTTGCTGAAATTATCATGCACACTGTGCCTAAAAATAGATGTACAGTAGAAAGGAATTAGAAAGTAATATTTCACACCATTATTCCAAATTATGGGACAAAAGAACAAGAATGGGAAAATTAAACTTAATCTTTTAAAATTAAGAACAGAGGTTACCACCCCATTTACAGATTGTACCACTACAGATGGAGAGCAATTCTTGTATCTGTATGCACCTGCAGAAAACTACATCACTGTGTGTAAAATCAAGCCAACAGGAAAAATTATGAAAATAATTCTTTTCCCTGACATCTAATGTGCAAAGGCTTTGTTGGTGGGTTTGTTGTTGCTGTTGTATGGACCAACGTTCAATGATACAGGAAGGAATTAGCCCAGTCAGCCTACTTCCTCTGTAGTTTTGAGTAAGAGGCCTCAATGTTTAGCCCAGCAGTAGAGCCAGACCGTCAACCAGGCGGAGGGAGGCACCAGCCCGCTGTCACTCGCTGGTACAAAATGGCTGCTACAGGGCAAGACTGCAACGCTCCTAAGCCTTTCCGCACAGTAGAGCAGCAGCCTAAGTAGCGTGCCCGGGCCGCGTCCAACTCCATCGTGTTCAAATCCCCACAAACCAGAGAGCGAGGCCCACAGTGAAGAAAAGGCCCCGGGGCGCGGCTAGGATCCGGGGAGGGGAGATACAAGCCTTTCCTGTGGGTGAAAGGTCAGAGGGGCGGCGGCGGCACCAGGAGGAACTACTACTACTTCTGCCACCTTCAGCACATGCATAACGGCATCCTGCTGCTACAGGGCACGGAAGAGGCCGCAATTAGGAAGCATCATGAAGCCGCCTCGCCAGCCAAGATCCGAACGGACGGAAGGCCTCTCCTGGGCTAGGATACCACCGGCGGCGCTTCACCTCTGTATCCCCGCCCTCTCCTCTTACCTGTCAGGCGCAGCTGCAGCTCTTCAGGGTTTATTTGTCGGTGGCGGCTCCGGATCTGGGAGGTCAGAGTTCGTGACCCCGCCTTCTACGTTCGGTCCTGTCCCGTCGCGTGGCGTGGCGTAACGTTCTGATTCCCCTCCCCCTCCGCAGTGGCCACCGCCACCCGCAGCACGGCTGCGCATGCGCAAAGCAAGACCCTGGCGAAGGCGGAGCGAACGTCATCGTGCCGGCGAGGAAAGGGAAGGAAGGGAGGAAGCCTCTTGCCTTCGGTAGCCATAACAATGAAGGGCGGGGGGCGGAGAAACGACGTAAGGACGAGCTAAACATTTTCTGCGCGTGCTCGCGGGTTTTCTTCTCGATCGGGTTTATTAAGGAGAAAAGGGGGAGAGCTAATGGAGTGCCCATTCAGTAATCATTGCGTTTTTAGGAATCACATATTTAGGAAGATGTTTTATCACTTGGAAGCACCTGGATGACTTACTCTAGGATTGGAAGCTAAGGAGGATTTGATCTAGTTAGTACTGGGGGCCCACCAGGTATTGCAGACTATAGGTTGAACCGGGGAAGCACTTCGTTGCAAAGAAAACTGTACACCTGGACCCATAGCAGTCCTCTGGGTCACGTTTGAAAAACATCTTTATCTGGCATGTTATATAGCATGCTTTAGAAAGTTATTTTTGTCCTTTATGAGTGATCCTCTTTTACTTACATTCAAACACAAGAGATATCACAGGATAGAAGATGGAACTGCAGGCAAAAGTCTCAAGTTGCCTCAAAAAAATCTGTTTGCTGGCTCCTAGGATCTTTTTGTTGCAAACCGTATTTTTGAAACTCACGTAAGGCCTCCCCATGAGAAGAAACCAACAGAGCTTGCTACTGGTAGCACATCTTCACCAAAGGGGGCTGCTCCTTTTTGATCACTCCTTTGTCCTGTGAAAAGGCTTGAACCCACCTTTCTTCATTCTTTAATGGGGGGGGAGAGAGAGATGGAGAATTACTGGGTTAAGAACATTTTTTGATTAGTGTCTGTTAGGGTTGTTGGTTCTAAGGATAATATGTGCTTGGGTAAAGGAAGGTAAGAGTGTCCCTGTAGGAAGGAAGAGATCAGGAAGTCAGAAGATGACTGGTGGCTACTCATTGTTGGTCCCCCATCAATTTTGGGAAAGCATAGTGACCTCCCCCTCCACTTGGTGTGTTAATCAGTCCAGTTTAATCTGGAATACAACCAGTCCTCACTCCTGATGGAAAGGGCATCACTCTGACCTAGCTGAAACTCAGATCTGATGTATCTCTGCCTGGCCAAGTACCACCTCAAATGATAGCATAAAGAGAACTTTCTTCTCAGTCATCATAGCGTCTTAGTGAAATGCTCTGCAAAATTTTCTCAAATGGTGGCTGGACTGCTCAAGGCTAATCTGACTCTGTATCCTACTACAAAAGGTTTGCAGTATGTTTGAAGATACACCTGCTGCAAATTATGTGCCACAGTTGTAGATGTAGAATTCAGTGTCATCAGGAAAACCAGTGCTTGACAGATGTTTTGAGGCTGTGATGAAGTGGATGAGGGCTAAAAATCTGAAGCTCAATCCAGATGATGGTTAGATTATTGCCAAGCCTGGAAATTAGGGAGGTTGCCTGTATTAGACACAATAGGACTCCCATAGTGCATATATTGAGGATTCTCTTTCTCTTCTGTCCCTGGAAACCGTGGTGTTCTTAGTGGCCAGGAGGGCCAGTGGCCAATTTTGGTTCATTTGCCAGCTGCAGCCTTATTAAGCTAGTTTCTGTAATTCATGTCCTAATAGTTCTTGTAATTACAGGTAGTCCATGGGTTAAGAATACCCGGTTTAAGGATGACCCATGGTTAAGAATGGAACCTATTGTAGCAAAATTCGAGTTAAATGCACAGTGGTTTGAGTTAATGAATTCTTGCACTTATACAGTATTATACAATAATACTGTTCTGGCTTATATACAGATTTGACTTAAGGACAGACCTTGGGAATGGAACTCGTTCTTAAACTGGAGACTACCTATATTGTAATATACTCTGTGAGGCTAAGACAAAAATACAAAAGAAAAGGACTGAACAATGGAACTCGTTCTTAAACTGGAGACTACCTATATTGTAATATACTCTGTGAGGCTAAGACAAAAATACAAAAGAAAAGGACTGAACAATGGAACTCGTTCTTAAACTGGAGACTACCTATATTGTAATATACTCTGTGAGGCTAAGACAAAAATACAAAAGAAAAGGACTGAACCTACATGAACTCCTGGAAAGGTCCTGCTGTAATAAAGAAACTTCTCCTGCCAACCTGGAAGGACTATCTTCAGCTAAAAAAAAAAGAATTAAAAATAGTGGTTGGAAACAAAATGGGCAGCTAATTTATTTTTCCTCCTGATTTTAACTGAACAAATTTCTGTGTGATTTCTTGATCAAAAAAATGTATTTTTTGTCTAAATCAGGCATATAGATAAAAGATATATGGATAAAGAAAGAAATGTTTCATCCCCTTGTGGCTTGCTACCAAACATGTTCCATTGAATAGCTAATGTTGCTTGACTATCCAAAGAGGTAGATCTAGGCATATTGGTATCTTCTTTCCTTCCAATCCAAAGATTGGGCTTTTCCTGACAGTGTTAAGGTATTTCATTAATCTCCTGAGACAGAGTTGAGATTCAGGCTTTAGTGGAACAAGTCTCACACAAAATCCTTCTGTATATAACACCAGAGACTGATCAGATGCAGCATTAAGGAATATTAAAAAATAAATAAGTTAACAAACACAGATGTTGTTTATATTATGTTTGCTAGAATCCACAGTAGTTCAGTTGATTTATCAAAAATTTAAAAAGCAAGAAATCCTAAAAGCCTGCTGAAAAGTCTTCTTGCATTTTACAGATGTGAAATAAAATAACAAACAGAAAATTGTTTTGACAGTTCCCTTGGAACAAACCAGAGAAATATCTTGTTATACTTTTCCATTGAACAACAGTCTCTAAGGTTCTACAGTCAAGGACACTTTGGAATTCAGTTTCAATTTCAGAAATGATTCTGACCATTACTGAATGTAAAACAGTGATAGAGTTTAATAAATAACAAGTATACACATTTCTTTAAAAATCATTATGCCTGAACCAGAGACCAGGTTCAGACCACTCTAAAAAAACAAACTGCTTTGCCTGGGCCAATCCAGTGACTATAACATACAGAACTGTAGCATTCACTTAGTTATCTGACATGTTCTTTAAACCCAGAATGTGCTACAATATTGTGGCTTCTTGAAAAGCTTCTATCCACCTATTGGAAAAGAGAAAACATTATTTTACTAAACATAATCATTGCCCCCATTTGCACATACTCTCTCATAATCTGCCCACCAGACCCTTCATTCGTGCTAGTTAAGGCATTCAGATCAACCCCTCTCAATCTCAAGTAGAAGCAATGGTTTTAGCACGCATGAAACGGGCAGATTCCCCAAATCCTTCATTCCTCCTAGTTAGGAATTTTTCTTTTCTTTTTTTAAAATCACTCAGAAGTTGCTAGACAAAAGGCTGGAAACAAGTAGGATTTAAGGTGATCACCTTTTAGACTTAAACTGTAATTTACAGGAAAAAGCATTTGCTAAGAAACTACTGTATGAACAAAGGATATCTGTTCTGAGGGTTTTCTATGCTCTAGAGAAATAGGAAACGCTAGGAAGTTATATTTAATTTCTTTGCTGTATCTACTAGCTTTCTTGTCTCAAATATTTATGTTCTCTGAAGATGCTCAGTAAATGACATGGTTTGTGCAACTTGGAACTGCTTTACATCTGAGTTGTCTTTGAACTAGGACCAGATCAGCATCCTGTGATTTGTCAGAATTTCATCTTCCTTCTATATATTTTTCTATGGGAAACATGGTGTCTGTGATGCTAGTTGCTCTGTATTTTTATCTCCTCTGCTACTGAATGTTTTATAAGCGTCTACTTAAAAATAAAAACAATTCTCTTTTCATTTTTTCTTTGTAATAAAAGTTTGATTCCACTTATATTTTGTAAGATTGATCTATCTCTGAAAGGAGGAAGTGTTGATTTTCCTAGTCAGACACCTCAACACAGAGGGCCAGGAAAGATTACTACTTAGTGCTATAAAGTTTATTTCCATTTTGCCATTTTATTTTGTTCCTTTTACAGTACCATATTTGCTCATGTGCCAGGGTTGGAGGAGGATATTAGGTAGAGGTACAGTATTTCTTTGGAAGACAGGTGATGGCAGTAATAACTACTAAGCTGCTATGCTAAGTCAGGAGAGGGAGCTAAGATATGTAAACCCAGACAGCTTCTGGGAGAATACAACAAGACTTCTAAACTTACAGCTGTCTTGTTACACCAAGTATAATGATTTTCAGAATGTATATAATTGGAATATTCAGCAGATTGGAATATTTAATTATTTGATTCAGTCTGTCATGATTTAGCATTAATACAATCAAAGCCACACTGGTGGGCATTAAAAACCATGCATAATCCTAAATGAAAAATGGTCAAGACAACAGGGTTGAACTCAATCCTTAAGCAGCACCCTACTTTTGGATAACTCTGGAATTGGCTTTTGGAAAAAGAGATGGGTTTTCTCTGTTTTTTTCCTTGATTTATGTACAAGTAGCAACTATTTGTTTTAGTTTTTTGCAAAAACCCAGTGAAAACAACAGAGAAAATAAACCTTATTTACTCTAGTTTTATGTACTTCCCAGAGAATTCTAAATATACATCTTTATGTTGGCCAAATAACTTCTGATAATCATAGAATAATCAATAGGATCATAGTCAATACTGTACTCTGAAACTGTTTCAGAATATCCTTAATTAATTAACATGTATGTTAAATAACTGGCCACTTACTTTTGTGCTGACTGGGAATCATCCGCTTTGAATATGTAAAATAAAGTATTTTTGTGCAATAAATGGAAAACTTTAGATTCTAAGTGTTCATCTTTAACTTCAGCAACTGTAAAACCCAGTAAAGGTTGGCTCTCTAAAGCAGCTACATCCTAATATTAAAAAGAAATCCAGAATTAGATATGGCTTTCCTATAAATGAAACCATTTTTGAAACAGTGAAAATGCCATATAAGAATGTTTCTTGCAACTCCAGGCCAATACCAAATCCTGAGTTTGATCCTAAAAGTCCCAATTGTGAGCACAAGGGAATCTTTTGGTTCAGACCCTTCATTTATTTAGCTAATGGCTGAATACAAGCCATTTCCATCCTGCACTTCCTGCCTGAAAAAAATATTTTTTTATAATTGTTTCTATAATTGTTTTTCGGTGTAACCAGTAGCTTGTCATCAATATAGATGGCTATAAATAAAAAAATACAATAAACATTAGTTTAAAACCAAGGAATTTCTAATATCCTTCCCATAGACAATTGGTAATAATCTGTGGATGGGGAGAAGCCTTGCAGATTTCTAGACTGATCTTTACCTATCGCCATCATGTGTGCAAAATGTGTGCACACTGTTCAGACACTGGGTACTTAAGCACCCATCCCTCAGAGGAAATCTTTGTCTTTTTAAGTTACCTACCAAAAAAAAAAAGTACAGAAGTTCTCACAAAATGCATGCTTGAATTTTGTATAATCCTTAGTTTTGGTCTGTGAATAGCATGTTGCCTTATTATTAATGTTTGGCTCTTTCCAACTGACAATGATCAAGCTCTCATGAAGAATAAGTACTGTACCATGCTACTTGAGTAAGGACTCATGGCTTGTGACTCCCAAACAAGCCAGGAAAAAGAAACTGACATCTTTGGCTTCAGATTCTAGATGGTTAAGGAATAAGCTTTGGGGTAAAGGGGAAACAAATTGCTAGTGACAAGCCGAGATTATCATAAGAATGTAAGGACAATCCTGTTGGACCAGAACAAAGTCCATCTAGCCTAACATTTTGTGTCAGTGGCAACCAGATGCATTCTGGAAACTCATAAGTATGGACAGAAGGGTAATAACTCTCTTCCACTATTGTGCTTAGCATCTGGTATTTAAGCTATCATTCATTTAAGATGATAATCAGCCATCAAAACTAGTTGCCTTTGTTAACCATGAATTCATCCAGTTCCCTTTAAAACTATCTACATTACTGGCTATTGCCATATCTGAGGACAGTGAATGCCAGTTATAAACTCTTCATTATTTTGTGTGAACCATTTTGCTTCTTAAATGACTTTTTCCAGTGATTTGTTTAAAGGTATTCTCTCCATTCAGTAAACTGAGTGAATAGGGGTGCAATCCCAACATTCTGCTCACATGAAATGTTTTCTAAACTTTTAATTCCTTACCTCACTAGCAGCATATGTGTATAGCACTTTATTTTTTATCACAAACCACAGGTGTTTCCATGGTTTCTTGGTGCCCTTTGATCTGTACAAGTAGCCACTTATTGAAGAATCTTCTGTATTAGCCGATACCTATAATGAAAACAAGTAGGTAGTTTGAGTGCAAGAGAGTATAGCACAACTGCCCCTCTCCCTAGTGTACTGATCATCCTAATTGTAATCCTGCTGAAAACAACATAAATAGTTTAAGTTAAGCATAAGTGCTTGTCACATTTATATATTTTGTTTATTTACTGCCCAAATGCCCAAACTCTACTAGTAAACTGGCCTTTCAGCAACTAGTGCTAAACAGCCTGGGGACCAATCTTTCTGTCCTGCTAATTACTCCTCCTTCAGTCAAGGAGAGAACTGTTTTTTAAAACAAATACAATGTTTTACAAACGGATCATAGAAAATAATTCTTAATTCAAAATATACTGTAACAGAGATATAAAAACTCTTAAGACTTTTATTTGTTTATTGGATTCTTATTTAGTGTTATATTCCCAAGGGCTTTTAGAATGAATGAATGAATGAACGAACGAACAAATAAATAGTACTGTAATAGAATTTACAATTGGGCCTTATATTAAAAGCCTGAAGATAGGGAACAGATCAGTCAGATCAATATTTTAGCTTGTACTCTGTCCATTCCATTCTCTCAGAATCACTGGAAACTGCCTTACAAGAAGTCATTGAGCTCCAAGGAACTAAACTGAATGTAAAGTCTTCTGAGAATTTCAGAAAAGATATTTTCCAGTCTCCCTAGAAATACCAGGGATTATGTTCTTCCAGATAAGCCCAGTGTTTGGGTTACTATATACCAGTTTCTGGTTAGTCTTCTTTTGATTACTGTTTTTCCTCAACAAGCAAGGCAGCATTTTTCTCTGTTGTTGACATACTGATGCTGCAATTCTACATTCACCTGGACAAAACCCATTTCAGACAATGGGATTTATTCCTGGATAGAAAGAAATGTGCTATAAGGGATATTTTGCTATCATTATTTTTGCATCTGAGAATCCCTGCTGACAATTTATCATTTTTTTAGATCCTTTTTTCAATAACATTTTTCATTTTCAATTATACATATGTAGGCTGCATAGAAGTTGGTGCCCTCTGGAAGTGCTGAGCTATAATCTCTATCACCTCCATAGCCAGTATGGACCTAGGCTATGGAGGTTCACTTTAAGTATATCTAAAAATGAAATACTAAATTCATTATTTTGATGCTATAGTTAAATGCAGTTCAGCTTGATCATTTGGGGGATAAAAAGCATTGAGTGTTTTCAGCACAGCATAGATGCAATTCTTATTAAAACTAAAAAATTATTTACTACCATTTACTTTTCTATAAAGAGATGTTTTTAATGAAAAATTAACTAAGAATCCCAAAGAAAAGTTGAACACAGGCAAAACTCTAGGTTTCAACATTCTATCTAGACAGTATTTGGTATTTCACATATTTCACATAACCTCCTTCCCAAGACAAATTAAAAATTGAAGTAACAGAATTACAGCAGATGCTAAAAGGTTTCAGTCAGCAGGACTAGAATATAAACATACTTAAACTATATAAATAATTTGTATTCAGTAAATACTATGAGAGAGTCAGTTTGGTGGAACGGTTAAGGCACCAGGCTAGAAACCAGGAGACTGTGAGTTCTAGTCCTGCCTTAAGCACAAAGCCAGCTGGGTGACTTTGGGCCAGTCACTCTCTCTCAGCTCTAGGAAGGAGGCAATGGCAAGCCACTTCCAAAAAAACCCTGCCAAGAAAACTGCAGAGACTTGTCCAGGCAGTCATCAGGAGTCAAAAAACTGACTCTAAGCCAAAACAAAAATCAAAACAAACAAACAAAAACCTATGAGGTTGACTGTCACAGAAAAGTCTGCTTAAAACTAGCTAAAATTTTAGCAACGTTTTACATCGGTTTATATGAAATATAATTTAGAAGGTTGGCAAACACGAACAAGGTAAAAATTCAACTGAATAAAACATAGATAGCAATTCATATCCAGATTTTTTTTTTTTTTGTGCTCAGTAAAACTATGCAGCCATTAAACAATCTGGCTATACTGGACTATGAGCTTCCATTTTTAGACCTCATGACCACAATGTTAGATCTAACTTGGGAATTTTTCATCAGTCCATAAGGCAGAAGAAGCAAAAATTATTTGAGTCATTGAGTTGGAAAGGATCTTCAAGGTCACTTAGTCCAGCTTCCTGCTCAGTGCAGGATCCACTACAGTATTTGGTCTCCAGACCTTTCACCATCATGGTAGACTTCTGAACTAGACGGGAACAAAAGCGATCAAAAGCTTATATACTTTTGGAGAGCATTTTGACTGGGCCTAATGTTGTCCAACTGTGGCTTGTTCTCATTTTTTGTAGCAAACACCGAAATTAGTTTAGTGCATTGTGTGAAACGTTAATGCTTAGTATACTGTGTGAATCTGCCACTGTGGTTTATCCGACACATTCAAATTAAGACAAATAATGGCTTATTGTGGTATAGTTCTAGTCACTGTCCCACTTTCACTAGCTGAGAATAAGGCAGGTAATCTTGCCTGAAGTCAGTAGAAAGTATGTAGGGGGAAGGGGAGGGGAACCAGAAAGCAGAGAGAACAGACTAAAAACAAGCATTGTGATTCTACAGCTGCAATCTCTGAAAACAGGAACAGAGGGATGTCAGGATATTTGGTCTCTCATTAGCAATAGGTCTTTATTAGTAAATACAAATAAAATAAGTGCTGGGAAGATCTGACATACTTCCTTGAGTGCAGCTGGAATTTTTTTCTGCTTTCTGCCAGATGGAATACTGTGCAGTACTGTAGACAAAGCATTAGTTGGAGATCGGTGATTCAGTGGAGATCCATTTTTAGGAGAAGTATACATATTATCTGAAATTAAGGTAACAGTTACAGTTGTTTCTGATTCAGAGAACTAAAAGGGTAAGTTTTTAGTTTATCATTTATTAATTTTACAAGCTATGCATCCATCTCTGATATTTGAATACAAGATTTCAAAAACAGCTTGTAGCTTTTTAAAATTTTAACATGTACAAGTGATTGTACTGCTATTCTGAATGCTTTCTTTCCTCATTACTTCTGATCATAGGTGGAATAATGGTGGTCAAAGATTTGCAAGTAACAATTTTCACCTCAGACAGATACAAGCTTAAAAAAAAAACTAACACTATGCATAGCAACTCAATATGACAGATTGCAAATTGTAACTCAATTTAATAAAATAATTCAAAACAGCAAGCAAGATAGGTTTAATCCAAGAGATATATTTTCATGCTTGAAGAACCACAATACTGCAAATTAAAAAATGTTGCTCAGTAATGTATAGTTTTTACATTTAGGATTTTTTTCTATTTAACTCTTGAAGAAATTGCTATATGCCACATCAAATGAAAGATGACTACTGTCATCCTAAAAATTCCAATCCCTGAAAAAAAATCTAAAGTAAAGATATGAGCAAAAGTTGAAAAATAGGTTAGGCAAACATTTAATTTTACCCTGTTTTTGTAGCTCCTTAAAGCAATGATCACACACTCTTGCGGGGTGATTTTTCATGTAGTCTAATCCATGTTTATTTGATGAACAAGCTTGGCAGATTATCTGAAAAAAGAAACATGCAATATATGCACATCTTTTTCAAATGCATTTGTGTCCAATCAGTGAATTTCTTCTTTTTTTAAAGCTAACATTTATTTTTTTACAACCTTCCCACAAGCTCTGCAGTGGTGCCTTCTCCATGTCAGAGTGAATTCACTAGTACAAATCATACACATGGTAGCTCTGGTGTCAGGAATCCAGATTGGAGCTTTGGATCCTACAGGTCTTTCTCCTTCTTTCTCTAGGTCTGCCTAAGGAAGAGAGAGAAACAGAAAAATATCTTTACACGGTTTTAAAAAAATCATTGTTCCTAATTTCCTTGTAGAAAAGTACATATTACAGGCTCATTATCAATAACAGCACAATTCCTTTTTAAAAGCTTTGGTGCTTGGGACACCAAAGATTTCAGATGTATATTAGAAGGAGAAATCAAGCTTTTATTTGAAGGATAAACATTCTCAGTAAGGCAAGGAAGGCCCTCTTGAATGTTATAAAAATTAAATTCAAAGCAACGCATTTTAGGAGCATTCACTACAAGCTACCATAGTATACCTCAGAGTCACTGAGTTGGGCAGAGATGTTTAGGCCATACAGACTCTTTTCCTGTCCAGTACATGAAATTCAAAGTTATAGTATCCCCAACAATTGGTTGCTCAGCCTTCTCTTGGGCTCCAATTTATGGAGGCCTTCTTATCAGAATGATAAGGCCTCTTGAGTATTTGCATACTATGAATTATGGAGTGTTGAGCATGACATGGTTTATAACTTCAAATAAAAACACATAGCCTCTAGAAACACAGCCTACCTCTTCCAGACTTTTAGTAGGGTTAAAGGTGATTCTTTTTTTGGTGTAGTCTTCAATTGACCGAGAGATAGTTTCTAACCATTCATCTCTCTCTGTAGCAGAACTGTTGGGTTTACATAAATACACTAGTTAAGCAACTTCTTTCATAAAACATGACTAAGTAGATTTTCCTTTGACTTGATGAGGCCAACCAACTGTCCATTTCTTTCTTTTTTGTAACACTTACTTTGCTGAGAGAATGAAGGATCGTTCTACACTTTCTATGTTCAGTTCATTTTGATAAGCTTCGTGAGTTGGCTTCTTAACCTGACAAGGTAATAGAAAGAATAAAAAGAAAAATCATGTCATTCTGAAAGATTAAACAAATGAAAGAAACATACAGCCCCAGTCAAAAAGTTGATTTGCATGACACAAATACCCATGCTATGGTTCACTGATACACTTGTGCCACTGTTCTGATTGTGTCTGCTGGCAACATTTGCAAATGGGCAAGCCTAACATGTCATGGGAACAAACCAATGAACTAGAACTGACTTTTAAAAAACTGAAAGGAATAAGCCATAGACAAGGTAAGCCATAGTATGTAGGACATGTCTATCTGTAGGAAGAGTCAGCAGATGAGTTCTGCTGAAATAAGCTGGAGCATGGTGCTTATTTGTTGGTGAGACCTAATAAGGCTGGTGGGTGTGAACTGGCTCAAATTATAGGACTGGAAACAGCCTAACATACAGCCAGAAAATCTAGCAAGCTGTGGGAAAGAACTTGCCATCACTGCTATTTTCCTGCACTGCTTTTTTGTTACTACCAACCTTTTCTGAAGATGAGACAGCTAACAGCTACCTATATTTGGCAAAATGTTCAGAACAATTGACTTCTCAAGTAGCAATTTCAGGCTATTAATTTTGGTGCACAAGTTCAAACTATGCTTTATAAGACAAGCTACAAGAAAAAAATTAATTCACTCACTTTCATTCCAGCCAGTGACAGCATGTTGTTGAGTTTATACATTCCAGACTGAAGAGGAGTTGTATACAACAGGGCATCATTAAACTGCAATATAAATATTTTTTTAATGTAGCTGACACACATATCAACTTACAACTATGCAAGTCTGGTGTAGAAGGTCAACCTCATCCCCATCTTAGTGGGCATATAGCAGAATGTTGTGAATAGGAATGAGATTTGTCTTTTCCCTTAGGGCTTTTCCTGCCACATTTTTCAAGAGTTGGCTGCTCAACAAGGATTTCAGTAAATTCCATATTTGTGAAGGATACAAGAATGTGATAAAATTGCACTGATAAACATGATAAAACTAATGTTATTAATGGGTAATTGTCAATCCTTTAGGGTAGACCAGATCAGGAAACACAGATTCCATAGGAAGATTAGAACTATATATTTTATTGATATTGGTTATAATAACAGAATCTTGCAAGCCCAAATATGCTTTACCTCCCCTCCTTCTTATATCCAGGTTGAACTAGAGAGGCGTTTGCCTGAGTTACTTCCAAATATTATTGTTCCTCAAAGTCATCTTCCTGATTTTCTACACCAAAACATTTTCTACACCAGAAAGCAGTGGAAATAGCTATTAACAGCCTTTTTAATTTGCAAAGTCCACTTAAATTATTTGCTTTCTATGAAACAATTGAAATCTTGCAACATGATAAGCAAACATATCCCCTCCACTGCCATTTTTCCCCTGCAATTGGGGAGGGATTCTGCCCCAAAATATAAAGGTCACACTGAGTCTCAAAACCAATAGACCTACCTGCATAAATGTATCTAATTCCACTTTTAAAGCTATCCAAGCTAATGGTCATCCCCACTTCTTATGGGAATGAATCTCACAGATTAATTACATGCTGTGTGAAGATGTTATTTCTTCTGTCTGTCTTAAATCTCTTAATTGGCTTCACTGGATGAAGCAAGTCCTAGTGTTTTGAGACAGGAAGAAAAACTTCCCTTTGTCCATTTTCTCCATGTCATGCTGGCTTCTATACATTTCAATTATGTCCCTCCTGTGGACCATTTCTAGTTTAGCTTGCACCCAGCACACTCCAGTCAATCCCTACATCCAGATCTCAGCAAGCAGGCAGAACACTCAAAACAGCTAGCAAAATACAGTTGATGTTCATTTATTAAACATCAGCAAAGATCAAAAACTTTTAACTGGCAAAAAAAAAAAAAAAGGATAAAAGGTAGGCATAAGCAGGGAGAGAGGGTCATGAAAAACGGGCAAGCATTTACATTACCTATATATCTATATATTAAAAGAAAAATCTTTCTAGAGCCACTGTAAACAATACTGTGGGAAATTAGCATGGACAGTCCAAAGGGAGTGGCCTTTGGTTATTCCAGCCTTAGGCCTTTTTTGTACATTAACAACAGCAGAATAGTGATGGAAAGTAGGTCACCAGGTGATCCCTCCACTATCCTGAGCCATTACAGAAACAATTTGGTGGATGCAGATGATGTATTTAACCAAAATTAGACAGTTTTTATAAGTGTCCATTTTTTAGAATATGCTATGTAAGTAAGAAGATAGAAGTTCTATTAAACCCTATATTACTTGCTGGCCTTTGAGCTGACCCAATAAAGATACTGCACCAACATGGAATTTGTTGTAACCAGCATCTTTGCTTTTTCTTCAGATCAATATGACTCAGTGATTGGTTCTTAATAACACCAAGCTATGATTTGATTTTGTTTGATTTCAGCTAAGTCAGCTATGAGTATTTATATTTATAATATATTTATATATCAAAGTTGTCACTGCCCATCTCATTAAAAAGTGACACTGGGCGGTTTACAGAAAAGATAAAATCAATTAAAATACAATATAAAAGTAGTCTTAAATAAATAATAAATAAATTCCAAGAAATGATGGAATTGGCAAGTAGCTCAGAGAGCGTCATCAGGTGCCAGCCACCCCCAGGATTGATTAGAGCTCTTATCGTCCCACGCGAGCTGGCAGAGCCAGGTCTTTAGTCCTTTGTAGTCAGTATAGTTGGTAAACAATGATTGATAGCTTAGTGAAATGTATGAACCTAATCAGCTCATTGCTGAACCATACTCTAACTTTTTGCATTCATCATGTAAGGCAACTTTCTGCAATTTAAGTTGGAGATTGTATCTTAAGTCAGATATTTAACAAATATTGTTAAAAGAATTACGTGATTACATATTATATATCTGAATTGTACTTGGTCATATACCATGTTAGAGATGAAAAGTAGCTTTCAGTTTACAAGAAATGAGTTGCTTGTTTGAACTTTGAGGGGAACCTTCCTCAAAAAGGAAGAGACCATGAAGACCACCAATTATGGATGAATGGTTGCTACAATTCACTTATGGAATATTAATGAAGCCACAGTAAAAGAAAAACAGTAGCACAAATTGCAATGTAAATTATTCAAAACCATTAGTTGAAATTGCTAGCTGGTGATATTTAGTGCTCCATTAAAAATTACTTTAGCATTTAGGGTGTGCATCTTACCAAAAAAAACATCCGTGGCTGCATAACTTTTCGGGACAGTTTCATCAATGTTCCTTCTTTCAAAAACACCTGGATGATCAAGCAAATATACACAGAAATCAACCAAGATCATATAAACTTCCTGTCTAGTAGTAATGTACTAAACTCCAGTCTCACTGATATACCCTTGTGGATGTGCTTTCCTCCTGACCCACCTCTGCAGCAAGACAGTAAAGCTGCTTCCTACACAGAAAGTAACAAGCCTTACTTTCCATGCAGTGATTGATTCTTCTTGGCCAGAAAAAAGCCAGTGTTTGCAGCAGGAGAGGGCACTGTGTGCTGCTTTTTCCCAGCCCAGAAGAAGCAATCTTGCAAGCTTCTTTCATAGCTGTTTCTATAAAACTATTGGATTTTGTAAACAATTTACTGTAAGTTATTTCCCGCTCCAGGAGACAAAAGCAGTCAAGTTTAGGGAAAGCACTAGACGTTGGATGCAGTAAAAAGGGAGTTGCTTGGACTCTTGGTGAGGAAGCTGCAGGAAAATTCTATTGATTTGGCTTTCATGTGGGAGTGGAAAGGGTAATGAATATTGTCACCTACGTTTGCTTGCTGTATTTTCTTGGAGCTTTTGCATGGGCTCCTGTGATTGGGAAGCTTTGGGACTGCTACATTGAGACCTGTTTGAACATTTTCATGTTACTACTTCCTGTCCCACCTTTGATTGTGTTGACAGTAGCTCCACCCAACCTTTGTTTAGAGCTTATGAAGGTTCTTTTAAAGGAGAGTTTCTCAACCATGGCAATTTCCAGATGTATGGACTTCAACTCCCAGAATACTCATCAATGGCTATGCTAGCTGCGGAATTCTGGGATTTAAAGTCCACACCCCTGGAAATTGCTAAGTTTGGGAAACACTGTTTTAAAGGCTGCTCCAGGATAGATGAAAAAGCCTGTGGTTGCAGAGTTCCACTGGCAGGTTTGGAGTTCCTCTCCTTCTGAATGTATTTTGGGTCTGTGTTTTTGTGGGGAGCTTACTCTCTGGACAAACTTCCCCAAAGAAAAGAAGAAGTAAGTGTGCAATAGAGGCACTAGGTGCTTCTTACAGCAACAGTATAAATAGCAATGGAGGCACATTCCCTGATGTCAGAGGGCAGTCCTGGGATGGGTTTCCTGCGGAAGGTCAGATCTTGAGGATCCCAGAGCTCCCCCAGGCTCTTTTGTGCAACACAGAATGTTTCTGTAGCAGGTGCTGTCACATTTTCTGTGGAAAATACCACTTTTCTCCTTCATCCAGTTTCAGTCCGCCTCAGCAGCTACATCTTGGAGCTAGGTCACTGACAGTGTGCACATGAACCTTCTAACAAGAAGCCCATGGAAGTACGGAAGACAGAGCCAAAAAACAGGCAAAAGTTGTAGGATAGGGCAGCTACATTTACATGCGAGGAGAGGAACTGAGAAACTGACTTACAATCCAGACTGGATTTTAAATCAGTGATGCTAGAAAGGGTAAGACAAGGCACCAACAAGTACCATGGAACAGTGGACTGTGCTTGTGACATCAGACTTCGCTTTGTCCTGTCTCCTGTCATGGTGGTCACTCTCTTACTTTTCAAAAGGAACAAAAGTTAACATCCCAGCTAGAGATGGATAATTATAATGTATTTTGTTTCTTTTTATTTCAGAGCTGTTAACCTATAAAGTGGGTGAAGAGAAGGACTTCAATCTCTAGTTTTCCTGTGATCTCCATGGTGAACTTACCCTCCCAGGCTGTACAATTTCATGATGACCAGTTAAGCTGTATTGTATTTGCATAAGCTTCTGAAAATTATCCTAGAAGGTGAAAAAAGAAATGTTACTGCCCAGTTTTCACCATCGTTTATTCTTTTATTTTTGTTCAGTATTGTATTCTTGTATTCATAAGAACCACCCAGAGTTGCTGGGAGTTAGGTATTTAATTTAATAATAATTTAATGATAATAATCCAAAATAACTCACGTGATATAAATAAATATCAGGAATCACTCACATGCAATCAACCAATCTGGCCGTAATATCCTCTCAACCTTACCATCCCTTTTTGCAGCATCTGGAGATTCCACAGATTTTTTAATGATAATATCCATAATGTATCTTTTTAATAATTTCTACAAAATATATTCTATCTTTTTAAACAATTCTAGTGGCTACAGATCATAAAAATACGGTATAATAACAATGGCATATTTAAGCACTTTAATTTTAAGTATTTTAATTTAAAAATACTAATTTAAACAGTAATGCCTTAAGTATATTTCAACCAGTAGAAACAAATTATCAGCAGCATGTAAAAAAACATGTAAATCATATTTTACTTGTATACCTTTGAACTTTGTGACAAAGCAAGAATTCAGATTTATCATAGCTCAAAATGGTGTCCGCCATTTTAAAACCATATCTAAGTTTCCACAACTGAAACACTACTTACCCCCTGTTTCATAATGTCATTTGCATGGTTGGCCACTTCTATGACGACAGCAAGAGCATCTTAAAAAAGAACACAGAATGATTCTTATATATTCTACACTGCTTTTCTTGTGTATTGAATACTTACATTCTAATTCTGCTATGTGGGCAGCACTTGAACTGCTATGTGGGCAGTACATATCAGGAACAGAGTCTTCTAACTAAGAATTCAACTTACAGAAAATTGATAACCTTATTAATAACCTTATTATTAGAAGTAGTCAAGCTGCGGTAAACTTGTTAAGGACCTCCAAATATATCAAGGAAACCCTAGTGATGGTAGCTCAGGCCCTTATCACTACAGTATGCACTTGATTACTGCACATGGTCTGTGTGGGGCGGCCTACGAAGATGATTCAGAGGTTACAAATGGTACAGAATCAGTGGCTAGACTGCTGGCAAGGGAAACCAGGTTTGGCAGCAGATCACCCATTTAGCCACTGCTGCACTGGTTACCAATTAACTTCTGGGCCCCATTCAAATACCAAGTTTTACATCTAAAGCATCTGGATACATAAGGGAGTGCCTGATGCAGCTAGACCTGCCCATCCTGTAAGGACATCTAGAGAGGACCTGCTCAAGATTTCACCCAGGCATGAGGTAAAAGGAAAGTAGACCAGAAAAAAAAGTGTTTCTCAGTGGTTGCCCCCACACCATGCAGCGCCCTGCCCCCAAGGGTGCACTTGGCCATCCTTTTTAAACAGGCTTTCCTTGCCTAAACTGCATTGGGAGGCAGTTTATTCTTTCCCTGTAATCTGGGGTTTAATTGTCTTAAGTGAGGCTATTGGATTGCCTCTCTTGTTATTTTATATAGTGTTGTATACCACCAGAAATCTTAGCATTGGGCAGTATAATTTTAGAGGGAATAAAATGAAATATTTAATAAATATATTTAAACAAATGTTTTCTGCTTGCTCTGGAGACCTATGAATTTCTCTATGTAGCTGCAGTTGCAATCAGTATAAAACCGGCTGTTTAGTTCAGTTCAAACACCGCATGGAAACACTTAGGTGTTATTTTCCAGAGTTCATTTAAATCAGCCTTACCCAACTTGGGGATGTGTTGGACTTAAATATCTATTATAGCGGGTGGCGACTTGGAATTATGGGATTTAAAACCTAACACATCTGGGAGGATACCAACCTGGGCAGACCTCACATTGAGCACAGCATCTCCCTGCTATTCATTATAAGAGCTCATCCATTTTCAAACATGAAAACTTGGAAAGGTCAAGCTCCTTTAAAGAACAGCAGAGAAGTCTCGTCCTGAAGTAAAGTGATGTGAAATGAAGGACGCACATACAGCTTTGGATCCCAATCCCTCCCATGACTGTTTCACTAGCCAAATATCATACCTTACAATGCACAAAAAACATGCAGTTTTCCCCTTCTAGTTTACTGGCAACTAACTATAAAATAATTACCCCGAGTATCTTTGAAGTCAGCTGAATCTTCTAAAAGGTTCTTTAGATAATCTGCAAGGGGAGCAGAATGACATTATTTAGGACACTCATGGTAGGAATAAAAAAAATAGTGACCTGAAGTTTGAAAATATGAAGAAAAAGTTTCGTACAAGCTAAACCAGACAATATTAAGGATTTTAAGGATTTAAATATTCTGACAAATTGAGATACAAAATACTGGTATATTGTACCAGACAGGAAGAGCATTCTTGTCTTTGCAATAAGGGACTCAGAAGCCTTTATTTTCAAAGCAGAAATAAAGTACTGAAAATTCTAACAGCACAGTTCTATTACTGTGTTCAGTGGGGCTTTTCCACTAAGAAATTGGACTGCAATCAATGACTTTCAATAAAACTACATTTACTGTAGTCTTACTAACAATTTTGCTTTTGGCCACTAGATGGCCACGTTGAATACAAAATAATTCCAGCTCCAAATCTCTGAAAACTTCAAAACCACTGATTTTAAAGTGCTTGCTTTCACTTATGAAAATTACAGTATATGCATCTCAACATGCTGGTTCAAGAGTGTGAGGGGTAGATCATCTAATGAAGCCTAATTTTCTGAACCAGGCTGCACATCCATTTTCAGATTCTTGTTAAGAGAAAAACAAAAGAAAAAACACAATGGCCAGGTTTAAAATTACAACACCTTACAATCCCTTGGAATTGGAATCTAGCTAAATGCTTAAAAATGGCAATGTCTTATCTGAATAGTAAGAGATTCAAGGAGGCTCTGACAAAAAAGTGGAACAGATACATTTTTTATTTTTATTTAAAACACGCCCCAACTTCCTTTCCCTCTTCCTGAATATCTCTGCAGATCTCTTGCACAGAAATATTTATTCTTTCCATGAGATTTCTTTAAAAATTCACAGTATAATATTCAACATCCATCTTCTAAATCCACAAATACCTTAACATAATTATTTTTTCCACATAAAGATTTTTCCACATTCAAGGTTAGCATGGCAAAGATGTTGGGGAAAAAAACCCACCTTGTTATTTCTACACAGACACAGCATTTTTGGAATATTTCTTTAAAGTATTTGAACTTCTAATTAATGCAAAATTAAGGAATATACAACAGTGCTATTCTGGCAAGCAAGTATTATTGAAAAAAGGATGTTGCAAATAATAATAGTCCACAAAAAGAAGAGGAAGAGCTGAAGGATATGAGTAAACGGAAGGAAGGGAAATAAATGATCCTTTTGAGTCAGAGAAGACTTGGGGGAACATTTTGCTCCTCTATTAAAGTAAACTCTATTAAACTTTACTATTAAAGTTCTGCTGGAACTCATCTATCATGGATTAATCTGAGCAAGAGCTGTTCTAGAACCAGTTTTCCTTGTTCTACAGAACAAGGAACCCTGGAATATACAAAATTATTACACAATTGCTTCCAAAGTATATACTAGGTGATACTTGCAACCATAACCAAACCTGTATATGTGAGATTAGAAGGGAAATCTTCTAATTTAATGCACAATTAGTTTGGGTCCACATCCTATAAACCTACAACTATAGATAGTTATCTTAATTATTGCAGTTGCAATAATACAGGACAAATTTGTATCACATCTTGACTTACTTAAAATTCCACCACTTTATATATCACATTAGAAAGTAACACATGCAAAGGAGAACAAGTCATTAAGTTTTTCTTGTGCTGGAGGACCCATATAAAGGAAACAGGTGAATCTGAGTGGATGCACCTGAACAACTATACAATACGTAAATTGTACATTGTGCAGCTACTTGTTTGGTTTTTACTTTCTCTAGTATTTGTACACAATGTCCTGATCTAGATTAGAACCCTCATGCAGGCTTCCTACTCCTTTCCTCCAGCCTCTTTGTTTACAAACAGCTTGCTACTCTATGCAGGTGCAGAAGTTGGTGTCTGGTAGAGTGAAAAACTATCTAATAGCATAATTTTTATTACTAAACAAGAGGACTGGAGAGACAAATAAGGATGCCCTGCCACAGTACACGCAGTGACCCCTATCTGCATCTTTTTCTTTTAAGAGATTTTTTCCCTTTTTACTGTGTTAGTAACAATCTTGATACAGTATGTTATTTCAATACAATGATATTTATATAATATACCTAAATTCTTAACATTATAGTATTAATATAATGTATGTAAATTCTTAACATTTATATAATATATAAGTATATAATAATTATATAATAATATACTTAAATTCTTAATATTACTGTATTTAGGTACCTTAGAGTATTAAATACAGAGAAGAGAAAAGAAAAAGTGAATATTCTATCAATATTAGTTACAGTTTAGGATATTAATGTTACAAGCTTTATGACTATTTGGCTTTTTCATTCAAAATTAACATTGGAAATGAGGAGATGAAGGAAGATATTTGGTATGTAATAAAGGCTTCAGTCTTAAGCTAAATCACTTGATATTGAACTCTCCATCGTGTGTGCATGTGAATATGTATGTATGTATGTTTTTATTCATGTTAATGAAAGGAAAACATATATGAACAAAATAAATTTAACAAAACTGAGTTACTAAAAAAGAAAAAAAAAGAAGCTATTGAGTTTCTAACTTCCCCCATTTTTATATTACTGCTTGTTTGCAATATTTATAAACATTTAGGCCTCCTTAGAAGTCAAACTGTAGCTGATTATATCTGCTGTGCTGCATGATGTACAGTATTGTATAAATGGGAACCCCTATCTGGATCTTGAATGGGACCACTGTGTTAGTACTTGAGCACTTGAGAAAATCAAACCTAAACTGCAGCTGCACAATACATGGTTTATGTATCATTTGGTTTAGTCCTGAAATGACAGAGATGTGAAAGAATGTGGAGTTGACCTTGGGAAGGGAGCAATGAACTACTACAGGACAAGAAAAGATTATTCAGTCCTGAAAAAGAGGAAAGCATGAAAAAAAATATATATATATATATATATGTATATATATGTATATGTATATGTATATATGTATATATATATACATACATACATACATACATATACACACACACACACACACACACACACACACACATATACATATATCAAAATAACCCCGCCTTAATTTTGTTTGGTATATGATACAG